GTTGTCATTTTGACGAGTGGCGGCACAACAAGGATAAAGATGACAAGTGAAGACGGTGACGGATGGTAATGAGAAGACCGTAGGCGTTGTTGGTGTATTTCGCTCTTCGCTTTTGGTTCAACGCCCTGGACTTTTGTTAGCCGTGGACCCTCCTTCAATGTGACAAATCGCATGACTTACAGTAATGGTCAAACGCCAGCAGCTATGGATGTCATGAATCGATACGAACAATGTTGTGCAAGCTGGTAGCCCGTCGATAAGAAGCGCGTTCGTGTTTGCGACGAAGAGGTTTTCTCTAGAGCAACTACTTAGAATTTGCCAGCCTAGAATCATACTCGTATGAGAGATGCAATGCTTACGGCCGAACCAAGTTGGGGACGCACTGAGTATGCAAACGGAGGCGGCACGGATAGGATACCTCGCAAGATGTCGAGTACAGGTTTGCCCTTTTGGCTACACCCAGGAAGCGAAGATGATTGAGCGTTGATAAGTTGATCCAAGTTGAGACCGAAGGCGTGCGTAAGCGTAGGAAACGACGCCGTATGTGAAAGACGACTGCGGCCGCGAGGGACGACGACGAAAGTACGGGGCAAAGTCGCCCGTTTGCGACGGACTAGCTGCTCCCACGGGTACTGATTTCCCCCTAGGAGCTTTGGTTTTGGCGGAAGTTGTTGTTCGGGGTAATGAAGTTTGAGAAATTTTTGACGTTTCTTTGAGGAGTAGAGGGAAAAGGCAAAGCGGGAGAAGAGGGAGGTAAGCAGGTGAGGTGGGAGACGGTGCAGGAGGTGGTGGGAGGCAGCAGCCAAAGGTGGGGTCCCGCCGTTTGATAGAACTCAGGTTGAACGCAGGTAAATGAAAGGCCCGCGTGATTGACGCGTCTAGAGACGCGCCCGGTCAGTGACGAAAGGTATTGCGAGTATTCGACCATTCAAGATACCAACAAAGACAACCTGCGTCCTCTGGTCATATTCGTCACAAAGTCCCGAGCGCGCCCTCTATTCGCAACCAAGTCAAGCGCAAAACAATGCAATGAGAACAAATAAGATAGATTGAGGTCAATTACCACGTCTACTTTCTTTGCCAGAACAGTTCCCAATCATGCAGTGACCAACTCCGTAGACTTGCTGCAGTCTCAGGATACTTCCAACTCTGCCACCCTTGCAACATCTCGTATATGGCGACATACACCATCTTCGCCTCGGTTTCATTTTTTTGCCGGCTGTTGAAACCTTTCTTGCCACTCCATGCGGGCTCTGCTTTTGCAGAAGCCAATGCGATTGCCTCGCAAATCAGATGCTTTTCACAGTCGCAGTACTCGTCATCCACATTTCGGCACATGAGCTGCATGATTCCAGGAAACAATCGAGACTCTGAATCGAGCAGCGCAACGAGTGATGCAAAGTTCGTCTCTTCTCCCTCTCGCCAACCTTCTCTGTTGGAGTACTCGAAGCAGACTTGAAGCGGAGTTCGACCAAGTTTGTTCACGGCGTTGATGTCGGCGCCATGGCGCAATAGCACGCGGACGACCTCTCGAGGTGGTTCGCGATATGGCATAAACATGGCGACGTAATGTAGCGGTGTGTTTCCCAGAATGTCTCTGGCATGGACATCGGCGCCATGTCCAAGCAAGAGCTCCACCATCTCTTTATCCCAGTTGCCGCATGCCTGGTGCAGCACGTGGAGAAGAGTGATGGAATGCGTCGTCATTGAGGCCCCCGCCTGCAAAAGTGTCTTGACAGCCGCAATTTTGGATTCGGTCCTTCGAGTTCTCTGTTCATGGGTGTAGTCGCGCTGTCCAGACAGTTCCGCCGGCTCGTATTCCTCCATCAAGGCGTAGTATAACACACTAGCACCCTCGTCGTCTGCTATGCCTCTCAGTAAGGGACTCAGCCAATCCCGGCGCTTAAACTCTCGAAGACCAGAGAAATGGGTCTGGATGCGTGAAAATACTTGAAGGTAAGGTGCGCAGGCGAATCGCAAGTTGTCGTCGTCCTTGAAGTGAGAACCGAGATTCCCCATGGCCTTGATGTCCGCGCCGTGTTCTAGCAGAACAGAGAGGGCATCGACGTGGCGGTGATATGCAGCCCAGTGCAGTGCCGTCATTTCGATTTCGAAAGATTCCCGTGTGGGATCCTGGCCAGAACAACTCACACGATCGTGAAGATATTCGAAGTCGTCGTAAAGCTCCGTGAAGTCCCACATGTCTATCTCAGCGCCGGCTTCGAGAGCCCTTCGAATGGTGGAAGCGCTACCAGTCTTGGCGCCTAGGAGGAGACTCGAGCCACGATTCCATTTGATGTCGGCTTGGTAGATGGCAGGCGTGACGATGAAGTTGAGGGCTTTGCAAGTTTTGGCGAGTCTGATGACGGTTCTCCAGACCGAGAAACGACTGAAATCTGGGTAAAAGCCCCAGCGGCACTCCTCTGGTTCGTCGTAGCCCTTCCGTAGCGACTTGAAATCGCTGTTGAAAACAACATCGACGATTTGAAGAATTATCTCGGCTGGAAGCTCGAGCAAGTGGGCGCGGCTTGCATTTTTGGTTTGTTTTGCTGGGGGCAGCTCTTGCCGTGAAGCTGGCGTTACGAGATCCGGCGCGGGAAAAGTGAGGCGTTTGTCCGCCATAATTAAGAATGCTCTTCGATGATCAGAGAGGGATGGCTGGGTTGAAATACGTGCGTTGTGTTTTGCTATAAGGAAGTTGTGAAGAGTTCGTTCGCGCCTCTTGCTGTGCTGAATTGGGTTTATGAGGTGTCTGGTGGACCGGAGAAGGTGCGAAACCCTTTCAGTCTGTGGCGTTCTTCTTTCGAACCATTGCTATCCCAATCTGAGATGAGTCAGCCGCAGACGAGTACATATTTGTCTTTGTTACACAAGGAAGATGATTCGCACAGAGGCACCTGCTGCCAGCTGCTGATTTCCGGGCCATGTTGATGTGTCCTGCTGCCCCAAGGTACTTTCCATTCCATTTCGCAGCTGCTTCCCAATCAATGCGTCTCTGGCAATGCGAAATTTCATCTAAAATATGGCCGCTGCTGGCGGATCAAAGAAACTTCGGTTCTGTTCTCGTTGTGCTTCAGCACTGTCAATGGTCATTCAACATTTTCATTGTCACTACCCACTCTAGTTTCAGAAACAATGATCCAACTCAATTCACTATTTAGACATCTCATGAAATGTCGTAGCGGTACCAATTTCAGGCCTTACCAAAGCTCCGGAAACGCATCAGCGTCGCGCAAAATCCTAAGACCAGGTTTCTCCCATTTCCGCAAAACCCTCCTCCCGTTTTCACTCAGGTATGTCTCTGCATCGACCGCTAGTTCTTCCAAATTAGGCAGTTTTTCCCAGGCACCATCATCGGCCAAAAGCGTCAAGTCTCCGCAGAGCTGCCACCCCGTGCACGTGTCCTCGCCTCCAACGCTGACACAGGCAAAGTTATACAACGTACCCTTTAAATGCAGTTTCCTTAATGATGTTGGAAGCGTCGACATAAAGGTGCTGGCTATGTCTTGACCAGTTACAGGAGGATAGTGAGGTATACAAGTCACGCAACTAGCGGTGCTAAAGGTGTCGATCCATAAATTCCTCAAATTCTTAAATTCCCCAACAGAGAAGGGCGGCACACATAGATAGATCCACCAGGGATACTTCAAAGTGTGTATGCAAAGTGTCGTCAAAGTCTTGGTGCTCTTCCCCAGTGCGGCCGCAATATCGGACGCCTCCACTTCCATCGAGTAGCTACATGTGCGAACATAAACAAAGTGCTCCATGTGCTCACATTGACTAAACAGGGTCTGAAATTCCTCGCGTTCAAGGAGAGTTTCTTTCAATGTGACGGATGTCAAATGATCGACAGCGGGTATTCGTTGAATCCGTGAGATGTTGAAATCTTGTATGCAGAGTTCCGAGACCTGCTTTGCAAGATGTAGAATACCAGACAATGTTGATGCTGTGATCATCTCTTGCGGAATGTTGGAAATTTCCTGCGATCTACCAGCTCTTTCCGACCTCAAAGTGATGGATTGGAGCATCGGAAGGGACGGCTCATTGGCGGAGCTGCAGGCTTCAACGATCTGCTCTAGGTAGTGCCCCGAGCTCGCCAGTGCGAGATGTCGTAGATTGTGAAATCGACAAAGAAAAACTGCTGCGAGGCATCCGTAATATGTAATTCTTGAAGCAGGCATTTCCAGCGGAAGTTTGCTGAACTGCTTTGGGAACTCCGCCTTTACTTTCACGGGCTCGACTAACGGGATTTCAACTTGTTTGAGATCAAGCTCAGAAGGAAGGCAGAAAATCATTCTTTTGACGTTATCGGCAGTGCCCTCCTTGTTTTCGATTTGCCGCAACTGGTTGATGATGCGTTGTTGATGGTCGAAACGCGAAATGGCGATAGTGTCTCCTAAGAAGCCGCGTACAATCCGACGATGACGCCTGCAAGTAAGACTGAAAATCCACAGGCAGTGTTCTTGCAGCTGCTGTATAATCTCCGACATCTGATATCGGTCATCGAGTAGATACAGATACCTCCATGGGCGGAGGTCGCTTAGGAGATGATGGCAGATTTGGAGCGTGAGCTCCTCTGGGAGGCTCGTAATGCAAGCCTTAGTAGCACCTGATGATGCGGAGGGGTTTGATAGGTCATGGTCGCTGGGTTGAGCTGATGCGACGTTTGGGATTAAAGATTTCGTGGGCTGGCAGCTTGAGAAACGACCATGATGCAGCATGACTGATTGCTATGTCGATGTCGATGGGCGTGGAGGGAACGTAAACGTAATGCGAAATGGATTATGGGTGATCCAAGTAAAAGCTAAAGACTTGGGAGAAGAAAGAGGTTTTTCCTGAAACTGTGGCGCGCGAAGTAGACTTGAAAATTAGATAGGTAGAGGGGTAAAGTTCAGATATTTAATCCAATCCAGTGAATATTTTATCATTGATAAAAATACGCAACCACCAAGGTTGTATGTATGGAGAGCGCACGAGAGGGCCAAAAATATGAAAGTGGATGCCAACACTGTGGATCGAACACAGGATCCCCGCATTACAAGTGCGATGCCTTACCACTTGGCCATGCTGGCGAATCGGATGAAAATGCGAAGGGAATTGGTAAATACAAAGCTTGAAACAGTGGGTCCAGGATGTACGAACATGTCCACTACGTCTTTGGACTGGCTTGTCTTCTGATTTGCGGTGCAAAGAGGTATTTAAGCATCTGAAAAATCGCCTGCAATTTCAGCCCTTGATACCTATCTTCCTTCTTCAAACCCGTTGACCTTTCTGTTTGATCTGGTCTGAAATTGCCCAAACCTGGTGAGCCGCCTTTAGCGACACCTCACGTAACCCTTCTTCCCTTCTAACTTTTCTTTCGCAGTTTGCCGCCTGGAGGCGCACCTTGTTGACTGCCGTATGACTGGGACGGGAAAATATGGGAGGGTAATATCACCTGACGTAACAGTGGCTGGCCTTGGCTGCGAGGAAGAAAGAAACAAGAATTGAATTGGAAGGCGCCAAATTTATCGCCAAGTCTCATCCTCCTCGTCAACATACAACGCGCTCGCATCTCAGCAACTGTTGCTCCTTGAAGGTATCATGGCGAACCTGCCGAATCTCCCACCAAAAATCGTGATCAAGATTGCGAAGTGCATCAGGTCTTTCGACTCACCCTTGGTCCGGGCCGAGACGTACCCTCGCAAGCTTGAATCAGCACTGAAGCTTGAGACGACATCACTTTTGAGTCTTGCAAGAGCCTGCAAAACTCTCAAGTCCCTTGTTCAACCCGAGGCGTGCTATAACTTGGCTGTCTTCAATATGAAGCCTCTGGAACAGGACAAGAACGCTTACAAGTTGCCAAACCTCATACGCCTGCTCGAGGAACGACGCGATGTTCGTGGTTGGGTTCGGCAAATCTACGTGCATTTTTTGTCCTATGGCGGCATCTTACCTGATGTTTTTGACAGTGAAGGCAAAATCACACCTCCGTGGCAATCTATCGCCAATATTGTTGGCTCAGGATTCGAGTCATGCTTGAGGCAAGCGATTGAAGCAGTGCCTGGATCAGGTGCCGTGGAAAATGGCGAGGCTACCTCCTGTTCCTCCTTCTCCTCAAATTTCCCGATGTCAGAGGCGTAAGCGTCGCAGCAACGCCCGGCACTTTCAGATTTGCAGCCCAACTGGTGGACACATACGCGACACGAAACCCAGAGAAATCCTTGGCATGTCAAGGCTGACATCCTTGGCTGCAGGCAAACGACAACATCACTTCTATAACTCTGCGAGATGTCTCAACCACAGTGGCAGAGTTGCGCGAAGCCGTTGAGCAACTCCGTAATCTGAGAGCCTTCAAATACCTGGTTATCGACATCGAAGATTCGCCTTTATCATGTGGAAAAGTCGTGAAGGCCTTGGAACAACACGTTTCGACATTAAAGACGTTTTGTTATTATTCTTCCCTTTTCTTCGTTTTAGAAGGGGAATCCTTAAGCATTTTCAAGGACATGTCCAATTTGGAGCATCTATTCCTCGACCTCAGTTACTTCGCCGCGATGCTTGAAGAGGGCCATCAGGACGACGATGAGGTGAATGGAGCGACTTGCAACAGTCTCCAAGATCTTGAAGAAGACGTTTTGAAAGCTCTCCCCTCATCTCTAAAACGCCTGCACTTGGCCGGCGAACCACGTCGTATCCTCAACGGCATGCAATGGCTCGCTGAGAGTTGCAAGCCAACTTTGCTGCCGCATCTTCGGGAGGTTGTTTTCGAGGATATGATGCTCAGCGACCCATCTCCAGAGCAATTCCTTGCACTAACTTGTGAAGCGCTTGCCAAGGTCGGCGTGCGGGCCTGGAAGGAAGTGGACACGATGCCGGGCTTCTGATGAGATCTATGGCAAATAGTTTGTAATATCATCACTATATTTGAAGATGACATTTTATATGATGAGACTAAGATCTGGGGATCTGAATCATATTTTCGAGCGGTTTACTCCCACACCTTACTCGGCATTTCTCAATTCCGCGCCTGGCTACTTGCTCTGGTCTGGGAGGTATGCGACAATAGGTTGCGATCCTGAACTAATTTATTGCTACATTGCGTTCAGAACGAAGACAATCACCTATGATGTAGAAGATAGCTCTGAAGAGATAATTATGTCAGTAACCAGTTGTTCGGCGTGGAAACCCCTTTCTTGACACTCTCAACACCAGCCAGTCGGAATGCTCGACGAGTCTCTACACAATCGTCGCACCAGCATCCTACAGCAATTTCGCGGAGCTTAGGCAATGTGCCTTCCTTGTACCTGTTAGCAAGTAAACGAAGGCTCACATGCAAAGCTTCCACATCGCCTGTTAAATGAATTTTCTTCAAAGAATGAGGCAGCGTCATGATGGCCTCTTTCTTCAAGCCCGCGTACGCAGAGCTCCGCGCATTTAGCCATATATTTTCCAGCTTCTGAAATTGCTGGTACGTGTTGAAAGACGGACTGGTCCAACAAGTGTAAGCGCAGTCTAAACATACCGTGGTCAAGCTTATGCGGGTCTCTTTGATAGCATCAAGGACATCGATGGGGTCCATATGATATGGCCGATTGTTGAACATCCTCACCTTGCGCCCGAGGAAAGTCAATTTGGTGAGGTTAGGCATGAGGTTCAAGATGTAAACCAGGTTGCGCCGCGAAAGTAACATGTCTTTGAGACGCAGGCTGGTGACATGACTCCAGCTGTACTCAAAATGGGAACACAACTCCAATTCCAGGCCAATCTCTTGCAATGCAAATTCTCTGCTTTTTAAGGACATTTCGTGTAGAGTCCTTAGGTCAAGATCGTCGAGAAAGCTGCCGTCGTTGTCTGCTTCTTTGGAATGTTCGATGGTGAAACTCGAAAGATTCGGAAAGATGTCTCGGGAAGCCCATGGCGGCCGATTTCATAGGGCTGGCGAGGACTCTGTACCATTGACACCTGTCACGCAACCAGGCCAACCATTGGCGCGAGGTTCAATCCCCCAGATGGCGGAAGGGTGCAGATGCGTATCAAATGGTAGCCCTCTGTACTTTGAGTTGAGGAGCAATGAAAACTGTCGGAAGATCTCACCGCCAACCGACAAGGTTATATGGGTGACCTGCCGTAGGCGGCAGAGCAGGTCGACGGTCATCAAAGCAAGATGCTCTCCGCTTTGAACAGTACTCGCCCATTTGGTAAGCTCATTGGTCTTCTCAAGAGTCGAACGCAGAAGACCATCAGTTTTCTCAAGGTTGAAACGCAGAAGATCATCGTATTTTGCAAGTTCAAGGGGGTCTGGCTGCTAAACGCGTGAATCCGGCAATGCTCTATGCGACGTCGGCATAAGCGTGATGCTCACGAAAATCTGCTTTATGCAGTCGCAGATTTGAGGTTTCTCGTCTAGAAGGCAGAGCAGGGAGATGAGCTTCTGTGCATTGTTTTTATCATGTATGCTGATGAATCGAAACACCTCCGAAGATAGGATTCGGCGCAATAAGGTGCAGGTGCTGGATAGATTGACTATGGCTGCTCTTTTGGCTCTGTTCAACTTGATATCATGCGGGGCGATGGCCCATTCGACCTCGTCGATGGCATGCTTGCCAGGCCTTATGGTATCGAAATATGACGCGATGTGTAGCAGGAGCTCTGTGGGAAGATCGCACAGCTTCGCCATCGCAGCTCCATATGAAACGACTGGATTAAGGTCAAGAAGTCGGGAAGGCGACGCGTGGAATGGTGTGTATAGGTATTTTACATGCGTAAGTTTTCGTCTACAGCTTCAAAGAATACGAAAGTGGTAGAATAGATATATGCCAGAAAAATAAAAGAATCTTCGAAGTTCGCAGACTGCTAAAAACCTAGAGGCTAAGCTAGCGGTGGATAGCCATTAACCCATACAGGTTGCGGGTAGAATGAATACTATACCTTTGTGACAACGCAAAGCGCCCTCGGGGGGCAGAAAGGTATTAGGTCGGGAAGATGACGATCATGAGAATGGCAAAAAAGTTTTCGAGGCGGCCATGTCTTCTATCTGGACATTCATTATATACGTACAAGAAGTTTAACCCACTTGTGGGTTCCATCTGCGACCCCAACGGCGATAATCTGACCCTCTTAGAGCGTTGATTACGCGAAGCCCTTCAACAATGAATTTCAATTCTTCTTGGATTTTAGTCAAACGCTCGTAAAAATTCTCCTGTCGTGGGGGAGCGCAACGAGGGTACCATGGCATGATGGGCATGCACGTAAGCAGATTCACTGGACCGGAGCCCGACTCCATCTGCTACCTCTAGAGTTACCAAAGCTGGGGATGCTGATCCACGTAAACAGCAGCCACACCAATTTCTCGAAATCTCTCCCTGAAATGATCCATTTTTGCGCCCGCATGAAACCCCACCCCTTTGAGGGTTGGATATTTGGATTCGCAATTCTCTGCCAGCCAGACGAGCTGTTGCTCAGGAAAGTCCTCAATGTGTAACCGCTCCAAGGAGGCTGGCAACATTCCGATGACTGCGTTGCACACTTCGGGTCTGCCGGTCTCGTCGTGAATCAGGGTGAGTGCGGGTTGCACAAACTTCGCATCTAGCCAGAGGTTTTGAAGTTTGTAAAAGTTACTGAACGTTCGGCCGTGCGCTTCTGTTGTAATGTTCCATTTCGGTAGAGTCTGAATGGCAATTGTGCGTAGAGTTGCTGCTCGCTCGGAGAGGGCCGTTAAAAGGGAGACCATCAAGTCGTTCTGGTCGATCAAATCGAATGTGATGTCCGTATCCAGGCATACGAACCTTTCAAGGCACTTGGCAAATTCAACCATCTCGGCGAGATCGTCATAATCAATCGTAACGTCATCGAAGACGAGTGAGGTTATGTTGGCCTCGAAAATGGTTGTTGGCCTCGAAAATGGTTGTTGGCCTCGAAAATGGTTGTTGGCCTCGAAAATGGTTGTTGGCTGAGAAAAGTGTAGAAAGTCGCTCCAACTTTGAACATAAATATCTGAAACGTTGGGAGCCGCCTCGAACAAAACATCCCAGGTTTTGGGGGCGTAAGGATCCCAATGAAGGTCATAAGAAAGATCAGCTGAATCGTTGCT